TAGTCTATCTGGTGCATTGTTTTCACGGCTATTGTTATGCTGATTCACCTGAAACCGTGGTCCAGTGGGAAAAAAACTTTTTCCATATTATGACACTGAGTCAAGTCCGGTTGAGGAAGTTACTACCTGGATGGGTGACCTGAAACTTGTGTCTCCTAATAAATTCTTCTGATTATTATTATTATCATTTTTTTTTTTTGCGTAACTTTCATTTCAATTACAATCCGTTTTAGTTGAGAAATCGTCCAAAATTAAAAGCTGCCGGGCATATTTGATCCGTGACCGGTACCACGAAGAGTCGTTCGTATTCTGTGCCAATAAAAGACATGCACGTCAAGCTTTTCTAGAACCTAGTTCCAATCGTCTAAAGCTGGCAGCAACTCGGATAATTAGCGGCATATTCTAGAGGCCTAACAAGCTTCGTGTAAAACCGAGGGTAAATAAAGTCTTCTAATCTATCTCGTTTCTTATATTTGCAGCAACTGGCTTCTTTTTTTTTTCAGCAGCTTGTTTCTTATACGTATACGACTCGTCTAGAATACATCAACTAGTTTCTTAATTGAAGCAACTCGTCTAACTTGCTGCATGTCCCTCCACCGTAAACTCATGGGCGTTCCTATACGTTCATCCCATCCATTCAGGTCACCAAATTTTTAACAATTTACTACGGACAGGACATGTTTGAAGAAAGCTTTTCTCATTATTTTACTCGAATTCAAAGTTTGGAAAACGGGTTCCAAATTTTGAATTTATCTTATCAAATAATTTAAATGTACGTTGATTTTTAAGAATAAGAGACAAACAAGATAATTTTGTCATTAAGTTTTCGTCATTTTTTCGAATTCTTTTCTTCAGTAGGATTTTGATCCTTAACCTCCACCAACTTAGTTCCTCTTTCTTTGGTGCTTTCTTCATTCTGAAAGGCAGCGTTATCAAAGCACTCCTTTACTATCGTAAAAGATCCTGTCGATTGGCTGTTTATCATCGTGATTCCATGCCCTAAATCGGAGCTTTTTCGTCTCCAGCACTCGACAGTTTGGCTTCTCAACTTCAGTCGTGAAAAATACGCGGTTTTGCGGGTCGCAGTTTTGGCGTTATCGACTTTGGAATCAGTTTCCGACAAAGATTTGGTTTTGTCGTCTTCTTTTGCATCCACGGTCTCMTTCTGATTTGATGGCTGCTCTGGAAAATCGTACAACGCTGATAAATCATTAAATATTCCGTGCTCCGTCTGGTCTGCTCCTATGATTTCTTCCACTAGGCTTACTCGCAGAGGAATGATCTTGTTAATCACTGTCAGTTCTAAAAATGTGGTTACGGAGCTCCAGGCCGATACAGAGATAATTGTTAGGAGTTGAGCTCCGAGGAACGACCATGGACCTCCTTTGAAAATACCAGCGTTGTGGGTAAAACGTTCTTCGAGAACACCTCCTCCCTGTAGCAAAAAAGAGAGAAAAAATTCAAAATGTTTAATAGGCTGTATTCACTTGTCGGACCTAATTGATTATAGGTACGTTACGGCGTCAATCAGAAGTACAAATAATTTTTCTTTGGGGTTCTGTTCATTGGAGATTTCATTTCAAACATTGTCAGTAAAGTCAACTCATCCACAGGGAAGACAGACTTTGAAGGTGCGAAACCCCAAAGAGAAGTTATTTACACTTCTAAATGGATGTCACTATTGAGAATCTAAGTACTGCAAGTGCTGTATAAATCAGCTCTTCATCCAGTGTCCCGTAATGCGGCAAACCATGTCGAACTTATAACATTTTGGCAACACTAGAGAAAAACGTTTGCGCATGCGTGCATTTTAGCACGTATTTTAAGAATTTTGAAGAGTTTGAGTGAAAAAATAAATGTTTGTTTTCTCCGAGAATACAAAAATGTTCGCGAGTATACTTTTGTCAGACCAAGATACTGTATTAACAAACACAATGTGAAAGAATTACTCTTAAGTTTCAAGCATGGACACTAAGTTTTGGCATTTTATGAAGTCCAATTTATCAGGCATGTTTGAAAGTCAAATTTACATATGTTTTGAGTAATTCGCATACGGATTCAGAGCATGCGCAGATGTTTTTCACTCGTGTCCATGTTGGCCGTATAATAGAATCAGCATTTATTCCAAAACGATTAGGAGTCGAATCTAATTGTATTAGTTTCGGCACATGAGTAGATAGGCGTATGAAACGGGCCTTAGTTCTTTAAAGTGGCTGGCTCTTAGCAGTTTTTTCTGTCCACAATTGCGATTTTCAGTCACCAAATAATTAGTTTTACCACAGCTGGAAAGATCAGATTTTCAAAATTAATATCAGGTACAAGTAAAAGTTCTAGTGTTACCTCGGCAAATAGCCCGACGGCTAATAAGCCCCAGACTCCAGCGAATGCGTGGGTAGGAACACAGCCGACTGGATCATCGACCTTCAATTTCTCGAGGAGTCGACAACCAGAACAGGCAATCAAGGCACCAATACTGCTAATGACTAATGCTTCCCATGGACGAACTATGGAACAGACGGCTGGGAAATAGAATATATGGTTAATCGTAACTGAGGTAACCTGAGGTGCGCTACAACTGTGGTGTTGCGCTACAGCACAGCACAGCACAGCACAGCACAGCACAGCACAGCACAGCACAGCACAGCACA